AACGTTGCCAATGTTTTACAGAATATGGATTTCTTAAAATTTCTTCTTCGTACGGTAAATCTTCCTCATTCTATTTAAAAAAATTACGTAAAAGATAAAGATAATATTATAAAAATTAAAATGATATTATTTATAATAAATTACTTACGAAAACATATACATTTCCTTCTGGATCTTTGCGTTCTAACATTATTGAAAATTTTAATAATTATATGAGATATATTTTGAGGTTACTTTTGTACTGTGTATTTTGATACAATTCTTTTCAACCACGCTACATCAAGGTGCTATTTCATTGATCATTAGTGATTGAGAATTATTGGTGCTGTACATAAATCTAATAGAAAATATTTTTATTTATTAAAAAAAATATTTATAAATTATATTTATAAATACTAAGAAATATTCTATTTTTTAAATTATAAAATAATAAAATATTTGATATATTTAAAATTTTTAATACTATATTTTTAAAAACACTTTATTTTAAAATTATTATAATATTAAAATTGGTAAAAAAAAACAATTATATATTTAAAGAAAATTTATTTAAAGATATTGAAATAAGTTCAAGTTGCACAACCTGTTTACCTCGTTTTGGAACAAGATATTAAGCGTGACAGCTGTCATAGTAGAAATATGATTGAAATAGATATTTTTTAATGTAAACAATTCGATTTATGCTAGGCTAGCTAATTAAGGAATCAGTTAGCTGCATTCAATTAATTGAAAATTAATTACATTTGAACTATACTTATAAATAAACTTTGTAAAGGATGACAATGGGTGATGAGACTCCAGTTACATCACTGGTCCTTCCTGTCATTTTAAGACCAATATTAATGAAGGTATTGGTATTTTTTTATTTAAAATTTTGAGATTATTATAAGATTTTAAGTATAAAATAATTTTTTTTTGCATTTTTATTTTAAAAAATATTTAAAAATAAATTATATTATATATATAATATATAAGTTATTTTAATATTCTAAAAAATATTAACTTCTAACTCATATTATATTATTTTTTTAATCCATTATTACGTAGTTAGAGAGGCAAAATGTATTGGCTGCTCAAACATTACGTACAGCTTTATTAAAAGCTGAAAATTCTCACCCAGGAATTACACATGATTTAATTCTTGGTATAATACGACGTGCAGAACTTAATCTTGATATGAATGAAAGTATTCTTAGATTACAAGGAACAGCTTCTGATTATGATGGTATAATTATAATACATAATAAAATAAAAAAACAATTAAATTAATTAAAAATTATGTTTAATTAATAAGTATTTTATTATTTCATGCATTATAATTATAGTTGTAGAATATAAATCAACAAGATCTGAAGATGCTTTTCAAGAATTAAACCGTAAATCAACTTCCTTAAAAAGAATACTTAGCAGAATTCCTGATGAAATAACAGATCGTAAGACTTTTCTTGAAACAATCAAGTATGTTTTTGAAATTCTATATTACAATAATATTAAACATTTTTATTTTAATATATATGTATATAAGATTAATATATTTTTTTTATCCTTTTTTAGAGAAATTGCAAGTGCAATAAAAAAACTATTAGATGCAGTGAATGAAGTAACTGCATTTATTCGTGGTTCTGCTGGAAAACAAGCATTAGATCAAAGGAAAAGAGAATTTGTTAAATATAGTAAAAGATTTAGCAATACATTAAAAGAATATTTTAAAGAAGGACAGTAAGCATTATTAATTTTTTATTTTCTTCTACTTGGTTGTTCTATTTTTACAATTATCTTTTTTTACAGAGCAAATGCAGTATTTGTGAGTGCATTATATTTGATACATCAAACAAATATGATAATGCTCACAGTAAAAGACAAATGTGAGTAAATGTGCTCATTTAAATAATATCTTTGCAATAATAAAATTAATTGAAACTATTATAAAATACCAATTCAATTCCAATTTTACTCATTTTGTTATGTTATTTGATAAGATTTAATTATCATTTCATATAAAGCATGTATAGTATTATTTTATATATATTAAAATATATTGTATATTGTTATAAAATTATTATATATAAATGAATACATAGATATATAAGATTCCACTAAAATATATAAATATTATTTCTAAAAGAAGTTATATTAAAATATATGTGTAACATGTATTAGGAATTTAAAAATGTTCTTAATTATACTAATTATAAATGCACATATATATTATAAATATATATTTTGATAAATTTTTATTTTTGAAAAGAGAAAAATTTCATATTGTTTTCTCAAATTATATTTTTTTTAATAAAATTGAATAATGTTTTTAATAATAAAATTTTTTGTCCAAATTTAAAATTTTATATCAGAATATAATATAATTAGAAAAGATACAAGACATGAAATTTTTCTTGGATTCTTAAGATATAGTAATATAATTAATAAAAATATTTATCAATATATAGTAATATAATTGATAAAAATATTTTATCAAATTTTATAATTTTATGATTATAAAAATATTCTGTAAGAAATGATATATTAAATTTTTTTGGAATTCTTATTTACTTTATTTTATACTTATTTTTTACATATTCTTTAAAATATATTGATAGAAACTATCATTTATAATTTTTTCATTTTACTCATTTATTTAATTCTAATTATGAAAAATAATGTTTTGTTTTATATGTATCTTTTACATTTATTTTTTTTTAAACATCATACTTTTAGGAATAGAAAAAAGAAATATTTGATATCTAATAAATACAAAAATATATATTATAAATGTGATTATATGTAAAAAAATAACAAAAAATATAAAACTACATATAAAATATATATATGAAATATAAAGATATAAATTTATATATAAAAAATATATGGATCTCTTACATATAGATAAATTATAATTATTTATATATAAAATACATATAAAAATACATATAAATTCCTTATGTAGGAAAATTAATATAGTATGTATAGAAATATATATAGATTCTTTGCATAAAGTATACATGTATAATATATACTAATTTGTATTACATTATAACATAATATATATTAATGTAACATAGTATATATTAATTATATGTAAGAATATTAATTTTTTATATCAATGAATTTTAATATAAAATTAAATGTGATTTCTAATCACTCAAAACTATAACTATTTTTTATACTGAATTGATAATATCGCATTATCGTGTTACAAAAGGCTTAAATGATTCATGACACAAAAGAATATTACGTATTACTAATACTTTGCTATGAAATTAATATAGCCGAGAGCAAATAATAAGAAAAAAATAAAAATAAAATAAGAGTTAAGAATTCTTAAATACTTTTAAAAGTCTTTATATTTAAGAGATGATGCTGGTAATCAATTCTTATTTTACTTTAAGTAAATTATTAGTCTCTGAAAAAATATTTTTGATATTTAACAGATGACTAATACTTAATTCTATATTTTTCTTTTTGGTTTTTTGTCTGTATTTATTTTATCTATGGCATCCTAAAGATGGCGCTGATTTCTGAATTTTTATCCTATCTTTGTTCTTCTATTATTTATATTCGCTTTCTTTATATTCTCTATATTTTCTTATTTTACAAAATTTACAAAATGTTCAAAAAATAACTCTAATATCTGATCAACTTTATTGTTTTCTAAAATAAAAATACAAAAATATATATAAAATATATTATAATATATAAAAATATATAGTGGATCTAATAGATTGTTTAGAATAGGTATGGATTCAACAGTTGAGGTTCAATTATATTTATATACATATGTTATTTTAATTTCTAATATATTGCACTATTGTTTTGTATATGAAAATATTCTAATAAATATTCTATTAAATAAGAAAAATAAAATTTATCAATCCGAAGATTTAAAATAAGAAAGACATTTCTCCAAATATATAAGAAATAAAAATTACTTTATTGATAACAAATGTACACCAATGTGTTATATTTTCCATTTGGAATCTACATCCTCTATCTACATCCTCATTGTATTAACAATGACACTGAGTAACAGTAAGGATTAATAGCAGTTATTATAATGAATATCATTGGAAAATGTACAAACTTTTTCAAGCACGTTTGCTATCTGCAAATGCCCGAACAATACTGCCAACACCACTGATATTATATACCTTTTCGTGCCAAGTTAATAAATGACTACTGCTACCTTCTGTTGGAATTTCAAATCCCCGATAAATATATTTCATTAAAACATCCAGCATATCACGATCTAATTGTGTTAAACAATCATCTATTTGAGTAGATTTTATACTTAGAAGAACTTTTAGTGTTAAATTCCGAGCATTGTCCTGTAACATTCAATTAATATTTGCTTTTGCAAAAATGATGTAATATATAATTATAATATATATGATTATATTAATAAAATAAAGATTATAAAAATAAAAGAAAGTCAACATACATTTTTATTTTTATTTTGTTAAATACTACATTAAATATATTTTATGAATAGCATTACATAGAATTAAATATTTTTATTAGCATTATATAATTTAAAGAATTTAAATTATTTTATATATATATATTATACATTAAAACTATTAAAGTACACTTTAAAATAATAAATACAGAAAAAAATTTTCTATTATTAAAAATTTATATTTTAAACAATTATTAACGTATTACTAAGGTTACCTTTACTTGTTGATTTTTGCATCCAAGTGGTGCAGATCTCAATACTGATATTAAAGCTTCGGCATTCTTACCCGTAAATAAATATTAAGAAAAATATTGAAAAATATTATGAAAAATATTAAAAGAAAATTATTGAAAGTAATAAAAAGGATATTGGCTAAGAAGTGTTAAAATTTCATTTTCATCTGGACCTGTAGGTCCTCCTATGCCTCCATCAGCATCTTCTTCTCTGAAATTATTGTCACTATATTGATCAACATCAATTTTTCGAAATGTCGATGCTGATGAATCTTTTTTGCCATCGTTTCTTGACATTTTATCTTTCTGTTTGACGTTTTATCGTGATTATACCCGGTTTATCAACTAACGTTGTGAAATGAATCTTTATTGGTCTTCAAGTATATAATCTATATAGTGTGTCTTTCTTTTTAAACAAAAAATAAAATGAATATAAAGAAATTTGTTATTTATTTTCAGTATTTTTCATAATTAAACATTTTCTTATATATATTTATATTATTTTATTATAAATATAAAATTATGAAGAAATATATTCTTGATTAAATGCATTAAAAAAATTCTACCAATCAGAAATATGAAATATTTTTATAATTTATTCTTTTTTTATTATTTAATTTTATAATTTTTATATTAATTTTTATATTAATATTTTTTATATTAAATCGAATAATTAAAAAAGTATATATGCAAGATATAATCTAGATCTAAGTTTAATCTAATATATTTTTCAGATTTATTTTATATTTAATTGTTTAAAATGTGAAAAATAATAATAAATTAAATGTTCTTTTTTATGAAAATATAACATTTTTTGTATGTAAGATGATTTTTCGTTTAGTTCAAGTTTCATTTATATTATATTTTGAATATGCTCCTTAATTTTGTATTTGTGAAAGATTGAAGATAAAGTAATATTATATTTTTTGTATGATATTTTACACATAATAAATATATTTTTTATAAAATAATAATTAAGTTATGAATTGTCCAAAACTTGTAAGTAAATATTTTACGCCAAAAATCATATGGTATCAAACAGATACTACAGTAATCGTACGTATTTTATTGCAAGATATAAAGGAATATTTTCTTCGAGTAAAATATGATCATTTATTATTTAGGTATTTTAAATATTTAATCTTTCGTATAAAATAAAAACTACAAAATTTTTAAAATTATATAAGAATTTTTGTATATTGTTTTTAGCACTACAGTAAATTCAAAAAATTATTATATTTATTTATATCTTTTTGGAACTGTAATAGCAGAAAAAACAGTTCACATAAACTTAGAAAGAGAAATTAAAATTACACTTATAAAGGCACATAAATGTAAAATAACTATTTATTTATTTTATATTTTTTATATTGTTTTTATCATTTTTATTTATAATTTTTATCAAATTGATAGGGACAGAATGGTTAAGATTATGTATTGAAAAAGAAAGAAATCCTTTAATTAGTGTAGATTCAGCACATATATATAAACGTGATTGGATTATTGATTCTTTAAAGAACATAGGTAATTATAAAACATATAATGTAATTAATATTAAATAATTTATGTTTATATTTATATTCATATATTTGCTTGTGGAAAGAAAAAATATTATAATTAATATATATTTTTCTATTAATTATCATATTATCTAACAAAAATTATTTTATCACAGAAAGAGAAAGTTTTGCAGAGTATAAACGTAGACATAATATAACTCAAATAATGCCAGATGTACCATCTAGTGATGAAGAAGAATCTGATGATGAAACAATGGACATGTTATTTCTTTAATCTATGTCTATATATGATAAACATATTTGATCAATGCAATATTTATAATATTCAAATATATTTTTAAATAAAAATAAAAAATATAACTTTAGTATTTTTCTTTCTAAACTAAATTTTTTTTACTTAAATTTTTGTATACATTCATTATTTATTGTATTAAAATTATATAACATAATATAAAATTTAAGATAAAATACATATACATAAATTGCATAAATTTGATCATTTTAATTTTGCTTGCAATTTATCAAAATTTATTTTAAATTAATTTTCAACTTTACAAGTAATTTTGTATTAATCATACATAAAGATTTTAATATGTTACAACATCTGATATAAATACAGAAATAGGAATAAAAAAAGAAATATAATATATTGAATCTATTTTATAATCAGTTTTATCCAAATAAAATTCATATGTAAAAATTCATAATATTATGATGATAATATTAATACAAATTTTAAAATAAACTATTATTCGTGTAGTTGCACTTATTGTCAGAATTTATTAAGACTTTAAATTAAAACAAAATAGTGCATTAAGCAAGTTTTCATTTTGTAAATAAAGAATACGAGATTCAATATTGAATGAAAAAATAAATAATGTTCTTTATATACAAAACATTGGAATGTTTGCTAAAATAAAATATTGAAACATATAGTCTTTACCAATAATATTGCTCTTATTTTTTATAATGAATTTTTTATTTTTTAAATAATATTTATATGTGTATGTAAATTTTATGATTTTATAATTAGATTGATAAATTAGATGATTATTAAGAGAATATTGTATATGTAATTTTATCATAGAAAAGATAATATAAATTCATTTATAATGTCAAATAAAATTATTATTAAATTCTTTAATAATTTTTTAATAAAAATTGAATATACCTTAAAACACATTAGAATCTTGGTACTATCAAATTGTGATATTTCATAAAATATAAATATAAGTAATTAGAATATTTTTTTATGTTATTTTTAAATATTATGAATAGTTTATCATAATATAATTAAAGCTAATATATATAAACAATTTTAATATAAATATTGAAATGATAACAATATATTAAAATTCACTTTCATTATAAAATAATTATATTCAAACATTTTGTTATAAATTTTGTACTAAATGTGTAATATATTGAAATTAATATCTACAAAAATATACATATATTACAAGTAATAAAATTATATAAAAAATTATTTTTACATTTCATATATTTTTTTATTGAATATATTTATTAAATGATTGCAAATTATGAAAAAAATATATACTGAATATCAAACTGAATATTTTTAATAATTTTTTAAAAATATTTTCACTGAGATTATTATATTATGAAATATATCAATAATCTTTTCTTATAACATCAATTTTATAATGCTCATATAATTGTACTGATATGAATATTTGAATAAAAAATTTCAAAAGAATAAAAATTACTGCCTAGTTTAAATTATTTTCAACAATTTTAAATCTATTACATAATAGAAATTATGTCAAATCATTATCATATCAATTAAATATACCAACATCTTATATATATATTTGATATTAATTTATACCTATATAGTATATACCTACTTTATATTCAATTAGCAGCCTTCTAAAGAAAGTCTTTGATTTATATTTTCAACTCTTATTTTCATTTCCTTGAGTATATCTTCAGCGAGATTATCAACAGTAGTATATCTTACTTTAAAGAAATTAAATATATCTATAAGGAATTCTATTACTTGATCTCTGAAATAATGACAAGTAGAACGTAAACTTCCTTCTGGACCTAAGAAACCCCACACAAGTACTGGAGAAATTTGTTCAGAAATTGAATAAAAATGGGCTAGAAATCCTTTATCATATTTTAACATTTGTCTTTTACCAACAAGCACTGACCAAACTGCAGTTCCAATTGCCTTAAACGTAAAATAAAAGTAAATAAAAAATTAAATTAAAAATAAATTTATTTTTCTACTTACAGTTTCGCGAAAACTAGCAGATATCCATCTATTTTGTAAAATAGCTTTAATTGATGATGGTGGTTTTTCAACTTCTTCAAAGGCATCTAATAAAATAAAATCAATCAAAACATCGTAGAAATTTATACATTTTACACCTCTGTTAGTTAGCTCCTCCTCCATAATAATACGATTGTTTTGTTCTTGTAAGAATTCTAACATTCGTTCATAGTGTATTAAATAATCCTTAGGATCCTAATATTAGAAATTTTTCATTAAAATTTACTAAAAATTATTTATTAAAATCCGAATTAAGCTATTCTTAAAATTTATATTCTTTTCAGATAGAAGTAAATAATATTATACATAATGATATTATATATATGTTGTGTACCCTGTCTGCATACATGATCAAATCACTAATAACTTGTCGGCCTATATCTGCAATCCACTCTGCAGCAGAAGATACAGTAAATAATTTCGTATATGCTTGTCGTAAGCAATGTACTTTTGCTAAATATTCTACGTCTGAACCGCATTTTACCAGTTCTGTATGTAATCGTCTATAATAAATATAAGTTATAATGAATTCATATATTTAAATATAAATTTTTAAATATATCTTAAAATTATTTACCTGCATGGAATACCTTTATCTTCGTGTTGTTTAAGAGCAGCATGATACAGTTTTTGCTTTTCAAAATGTGGAAAAAATTCAGAGAATTCTTCAAATTCCCGCAAATCTGCTACCTAAAATATATGTATTAATGTACATACTATATTAATATAAATATCAATAATTTTTATACATTATAGTTATTATATAATTTTATACATTATAGTTAATATTAAGAATAATTTTTTATTATTTATTTTTATTCAAAGATCTGAAAAAATTACTTACTCCATCACGTGCAGATTCGAAAGATTCTGGAGAAGATGCTGCATCTGCTTTATCCTTCCCGGATATTCGGCTACCTATATTCGAAGGTTTATGACTATCTATACTTTCCTCATCTTCATTTCGGAACAATACTGAATGCTGTTAAAATTGAAACATTGTTTATAATAAATTATTTATTTTTCTAATTTACAGCTTATTCTTAAATTGCTTATGCAATATTAATATTTAGATAACATAAAAAATATAAAAAGATATTATATATATACAAACAAAATTTCCAATTGATATATATATATATACATGTAATAATATTTTATATAGATTAGATTAAAATAACAGTAGCTATAAACTTTCTATGTAATAATTCTTTATTGCTTGTTGTTAGGTCAAGTAACTCATTGCACTAATTACTCTGGTCAGTTATTATTTAAATTGGATTAATTTCTGCATTTTTTTATGCAGTAAAAAAACAATTAGTGTTAGAATACAGCGGAGAGGATATAAATATAATATATATAAATATAAAAATGATACAGAAAAGATTTCAAATAAATAGAAGAAATTTTTAAAATCTTAGAATAGTTAAATAACGGAGAAATTATTTATTATTAATCAAAATTAAATTACTTACTATTTTTATTTTTAAAATAATTTCTAATAACGCATTAAAATAAAAATTATTATTAAATAATTCCAAAATATTTTATAATAAAATATTTTATTTTATATTTAATATTTTATTTTTCTTACATTTTAAATGATATAATATTCTTAAAAATAATAAAAATCTGTTAAGTAATTTAAAAGAAAAAAAAATAATATATATATTGATATGTTTACCTGGTCGATAAATAAGAGTTCTGCATGGTTTTGGATTTGATAACCCATGTCGAGAAGTTCTTGCACATCGTGCGTAAATGCTGCATCCGCCTTAGACGGTAATGCGAGCGTACCATTATTGAGTGAAGAGCTGAACGCTGTAAGAGCATCCTCCCAGCAATAGAGAGCTTTTTCCAGAGCCTCCAATCCTGTATCATTAAGTTACATCGTTTTACATTTGTCAATTTTCATTCTCCTCCTTAGCGTATATAATGCAAATGATGAATTCGAATTTATTTAATTCATTCTGAGAAACATTTTTACACAGCAACATAAAAGAGATTTACATGATTATTATTTCATGTTTTATTTTTTATAAAATTCTTATTTACAATAAAAAAAGATTTAATAAAATTTTTTTCAAGAATAAATAAATTTTATTTATTAATATTATGTTTGTTATTTACTTAGATCAAGATAAAGAAGAATAAAAAATATAATATAATATTCTTAAAAAAATTATTATATTTATTGCGTTATTGTATTATATATTTATTGCATTATAAAGATTTTAATCATCAGTCATCAAAATAATATCTAATGTTTTCAATTTTGAATTTGTACATATTTGTACTTTTTTTTTAACTAATAATAAGTCCCATATATGATAAGTGTTCTGTGATAATTTTTCAAAATCATTTTATAAATCATTGAAAATTATAATTTTTATTTATAAATTTATTATTACTTATTATTACTTTAAATTTTTGAAAAAATTATATTGATAATAGGTGTTAAGAATTATAATTATAGATAGATTATAATGTATAATAAGTGTTAAGAAAAAAAATAAATGAATTTATGTTGTGTAATAAGAAACAATCATTAAAAAAATATATGTACATCAACAATATTTGGAAAACAAACTAATTAGTTTTTACACATGTTGTAATATTACCATTTTTACTTATAATTCTCTAATTGATTGTAAAATATTTAAGTCAATAAAAAATAATTTAAAAAAATCTTCAAATATATAATAAGTATTTTTATTTTTTGGTATTTTTTTGGTAATTGTAATTTGTTCACATTTTCAATTCATGTACTAAATTTATATAATGTATTTAAACGACATATCGACATAACGAATAAAGAGACAAATCTTATACTTTTTTTTCTTAATTAAAGTTAGAAGTGAAGCAAAATTTAAAATCTTCGTTTTTATTTATACTGAAATTAAGAACTTTCTACGAGATAACTATTTTATCATAATCAGCTTTTTCACATAATTCCTGCATTTATTCAAATAGAAGGAATATTAATTTTATAACAATACCAGATCTAAAATTTTAGTCTTTTTTTTTATTTGATTCATATTTTTGAATATGATTATTTTATTGAATATAATTATATATTATATATGTATATATTGCAATTTTGATTAAAAAATAATTGTAGAATTCGTAAAATGTAATTTTACAAATTTAAAAATATAATAAAAAAAAAAGAAAGAAAATGATATTACTTTGAATTAAGGAAATAAGTAAAATGTACATTTTTCAGTCAACCAGGAAATATCTTGACGGAAAGAAGCTTCAGACGAATGTCGCGACTTCGGTACTTGGCATTCGCACAAGAGGCAAAGGTAAGTTCAACGACTGATTTTGCAACGACAGAAGATTTACAAATGAGAGACCCTGTTGGCCGGTGTGTCAACCAGTCAGCAAAGAGTAAAGGGTTGAGAGCATCTACTTAACGTTGTCACAGTGTCGCAGGATTTAAATTCCGAGTCGGTGACGACATTCGCCGTATTCAACGTTTTATCACTCATAAATCGGCATGCTTACACAAAATTCATTGCAAGACGGAAACTAAGCACGCATCGTATTAATTAAAAAGAATCCATGTATCTTAAAGGTGCATCTATTACTTTTAATTTGCGCAAAAATAAATTTATCTACTAAATTTATCAATATATGTATAATATGCTGATATGAGCATAGATACGTATAAATAAATAATATATATAAATAAAATAAATAGTTTGAGATAGTTGTTACTGACTCTTACATAATATATCTGTATTAAACAAAATTTATATTATAAAAAAATTATGTGACATTTAAATATAAATAAATATTATATAAAAGATGAATGTATTTGAACTTTTCTTCAATTAAATATTTATTTTTAATAAAATTTATTTTAATTATCATAATTTTAGAGAAGGGAACGCTTATAAGAAAAGAAATACAAAGAGCAAAGTTGGGGTGTTTACCAGTGACGTATCTATATAAGCAATTATGTAGTTTCTATTATTAAAAATATGAAATTTGTTATTAAAAAATATAAGAAATGTATATAACTTTTATATAAAATATTTTAAATGAATCAAATTTTATGTAAAATTGAAAATCTTAAATATTATATATATATGTATATTAATTTATATAAATTATAACATTAATTAGAAAAAGAAATTAATATTTTTATATTTATATTGAATTTAATATAATTCATAAATATAAAAATTTTAATATTTGTAATAAATATACATTAATTTTTTATTTATTTGAATTTTTTAATTTTTTGAATTTCTTATAAACGGTCAATTGAAAATTTGTATGTTAAAAGAAAGATAACCTAGAAAATGGTACAAACCATGCTATTCAAACTTGTAGTAAGTGCAAGTATCCTTTTTTTAACGAAGATAGAGATTCCCTGAGTTTTAGATGGAAAAAAACTTTCATGTAACTGACTACCCCTTGAGAATTCTTGCATCCCCTATTAGAGAAAAGGTACACCCTGAAGAATCCAGCACTGCGATGCTGCCGGATGGTTGGCGTCAATAATACCAAAGTGACGTAATCCTTTTCGAGGTTCGTTATTGGAGGATGTGTCATCCAATGGGGAGGGGTCGATACGGCAGCTGGGAGGCGCGCGCGGTCTCAAAGTGTGCTCCAAGCACGCGTTGCGGCATCGCGGTTCGGCGCGCTAGTAGTGCACTGCTGGAAACACCACGACGAGGTAGGTTTGAGAGAGAATACGAAGAAAAGTGGGAGAACACGCGAAAGCAACACGAGAGAGACGAAGATCGAATTAGATTGTGAGCGCGCAGAGGAAGCAGGGAGGGTGGGACACATCGTGGGTCCTCGGCGCTAGCGTCAGTTATTCGGTTTACCGCTTCCTTGGCGGGTGTAGTGTGCTTATGTATTTTTCGACGATTGTTACGGCGAATAATTGACATACGCGAAAAATTATAAACGTACTTGGAGAAATATTTTGTAACATACTTTCTGTTACACGACACAGAATAAATTTCTGGACAAGATCTAGTGCCATAGCGCGTAATCCCCATCTCTTTGATGCCATTTGGACGCTCGCATTATTTGGATTAAGATAATGCAATAGTAAGTATTATTGTTTCTTTCTCTATTCTGATTATTGAATATCAATGATCTTGACCGAATTTCATTGAAGAAAGAATTATGGTATTATAGAAAATTTTTTATCATTTTAAATCGTTACAATCGTTCTTTCGAAATGTTATATTTTAAAATGGAAAATGAAAAATAAAATATTCAAATGATGCTATTATTATAAAATTTAACGATTTACGTGAAAGATATCATAAACATTTTATTATTATATTTTCTAAGATAAGAAAATAGATTAATAATAATGTATAAAAATAAGAATAATTTTTGATTTTTGACTAAACAATTAATCGACCGTAATAAGAAAAATTGTGAAATATTATAGATTTCAAAATATTGCGTGGTTTCCAATTAAATTAACGACATCATGAAAATCATCCAAGAACATTAAATGCCCGGTATCTTTTTAAAAGAAAAACTTGTCTGTTTCTGTAATTGTTCAAGATCAGATATGTCTTCATATAGGTCAAGTTCAGGGGTCAATACCTCGTACCCGTTGAATCTTGAATAAAAGTGAATGCCGTAAATGTAGCAATAGCATCGCGTACCGGCAGATCGATGGAGGTGCCTGGTGCGCTGGTGAACTTGGAAATTTCCCTAGCACACGCGCACTTCCTGCACCCGTGATATTTGCGTATTTACTACATACATCTTGTCCTATACGAACTGTACATGTTTTTATTAAATCTTAAAGTACAACAAACGCCTTAAACGTGATGCATAGGACGAGTGATGTACCGTAATCGAGATACATTGCATGCAAAATATAAAAGATTTTGGCATCATTCAGGATAATGAAATTTATCTAAATCTTTATGAAGGATTAAAGATATAATAAAATTAGAATTGATCAAATATAAAAATTAAAAAATTAATAAATATGTTAAAAATGTTAGTTTAAATTTAAATCAAACAATCAAAACTTAATAGTGAATAAAAATGAAGAACTGAAAATGAAACATAAGATATAATCTTGCTATGTTATAATTCAATCAATTTTAATAATTGTACATTTTATTTTTATTTAATTGTAAAGAATTTAATATTATTTTTATAATTAAATATTTTTATGCAATTGTTGAATTCCGTTTGAAAATTTTGTCAAAAGTATTAATTTTCTCATGATATGAAAATATATTGAAATTTTGTCAAAATAGCAATTGTACATTATAAAAATAAATAAGAATGATATAAATGTATGAATCAGTATACATGAAAAAAAAATAATTTATTACAATAGAATAGTATGATAAAATAAACCGATATTCTAATATGGCGATTTAGTTACATAGTTTCACCTATGACAATGAATCAACAATATCTAAATTGAAATAAATTACAGTATATTTTTTATATCATTCATTTAATATATACTTAATATAAAAAAAATTTTTACAATCAAAAAATGAACAAGAAATAAAAAATTAAGGAATCAGACAGTATCTTAAAGAATTGATTATCTGAAGAGAACAATTACAATTATAACTATATTAACAATTATAATATAATATATAATCTTAAAATCATAGTATTTAAATAAGATTGAAAAGAAAAGAAATTAAAAAAATATGATTCGAGATAAAATATTTAATAAACTGAAAAGAATTTTCATAAATGGATTGGTCAAATTATGTAATTATATCAATTATTTCATACATCATTTTTTTTTTAAACTGAAAGATTGAAACAAAAGAAAGAAGAGTAAGAAAAATAGAGAACGAAATTATTAATAAACAATTGAAACCTTCAAAAATTGATTAATCGATTGAAGAACCATATGCAACTGTATTAGCTTTTAGTGATATTATTAAAAATCAATTCAAAGAGGAAACTACATAAGACACGTGACACATGCCAATTGTCGATGGGTGAATGCAAATTTTGCTATAGACAACTAACAAGAGACATGATATGATCGTGTCGATTATTAGGTAATAGTAGATCCCCTGTCGAGGATGCTTCGACCCTGATGAGCCTAATAAAAGTGACATCATTATCGCTCACCACAACGAGCTTTTAACCTACGTGGCTCGCTCTGATTTTCATAATCTGGTTCACATCATCATGAATACTTTACCCTTCATTGCTTTTTTTTCAGTTAGCGCCGGTAGATAACAAAGAGAGAAAGTATTTATAAAAAATACAAATTGGAAAATTTTTCTTTTTATCTTATGCTTTGTCATGTAACATTTACATTTAATATTTGTAAATTATGAAAAGAAAAATCTAGCATCAATTTAAATGAAAATAGTATCAATTCATCAAAAAAATTGATTTTAAATTTCATTTGTGATTTTTTTTTAATCAATTTACATCTTGGAATTTCATTTCCTAACATTATAATTATAATAAGAAAATTTTAATAAATTTAATTTATATTTTTTTTGTTATTATATATTCATTTTTTTCATTTTTTATTTTTATTATTTAGATTTCAATTTTATAAAATTTAAGAAAATTAAAATATGACGAATTCTCTTTCTTCTAGACTATAAGAATTTTTCTTTCGTGTTTCTTATTTATCTAATTCTTTCTTATTTAATGTAAAATATCAAAAATTATGAAAAATTATTTTAATAATTATTACATTTTTCAATAAAAATTCAGTTTTAACATTTCAATTTACGCAAATTTAACGTCTTATTTCATTGTTTAGTCCTTACATAATATTTAATTATAGTAAAAAGAAAAAGTATCATTAATGTTCCTACTATTGTAAAGTAAGCATTTGGAAGATCGTGAAGCAGGCAAAAGGGTAAAAGGTGTACGTACCCTCCACTCAGGATTTTACTTTCATAAAGTAGACGATGAAGGTCACATTATACGAGTCACGTCAGCTGAAAAGATCTTTCAGATATCTTTAAGATATCTTGATAAATTCGAGATCCAATGTTTAAGGTTATGTTCTTTTTTCTGGCAAATTAGAAATTGCTCGCATCGGAAACGCATTCTTCTCCAAGTCAAAGGTTGAAACACTGAAGTATACCAATGAAATATATATAGTGGTGATATAAAAATTTTTCAAATTATCCATAAATTCTATATTTCGTAATTCAAACTCAAAAAAGTATTTTGAGAATAAAGAGGAGTGCAAAATACTCGAATATATTTTTTCTTAGTTCAGAGTTCAAACCTCCTTTCAATTTTTTAAACTTTTGTTTTTTTTCAAGCAATGTATTTTTTATAAAAAAAATTTCGAATAGAAAAAAATAAAACTTGTACCACATTTCCATTATCCAAAAATTTAAAAAATTAAATATTGAATTAGAAAAATTTCACCTTTTATAAAAATCTTAAAAGATTTTTCTGTTTGTAAAATTTGATTGGAATTCTTCGAAGACTTAGCATTTTTGTTTTATGTAAAAATTCTTGAGGAATAGACTCGAAAAGACACTTCCACTTCAAACACGTTAAAATCCAAAAAAAACTTGACTTCTCACAATTTCCTCATAGAATTCTTCCAATATCTCTTAGTTTTCTTCTTCGAGTTCTATTCTCGAATAAACGCGAGTTCCCTCGTCGGAGCTCGCAGTTGAACCCGTTTGGATTCATTGAACGTCATCAAGGTATTAGAACGTTTCTCGTGGGCGTGTGGGGGAGCTTCGTATTCGATGGAACGAGTCGGAATTCGAGTACCTGGAAACGTGGTGCAATATGAAAGTGGCGTAAGATCGGTGTAAATAAGGCACAATGCGACAATGACAGTTGTAATTATTCATAGAGGGCAACGTATCCCGTTTGTTTCGAGTTTTTCGACTTGAAGATTATCATTCCATTTTGAATCCTGAGAAATTGTGAGAAATGGAATTGTTGAATGGAAACTTTCAACTGATTGCATCCAGTCGAATCGAACATAATCGAACATTTTGTTTTTAAACGGTCGCTTTCTTTTTAACGTTGTTATATATCCGGGATGAATCATCGACCGGGAATCATGAGGTGATTTTTCATTTGCAGAGAACGTGATGTTCTCAATTGAGAATAATATATAAGACTGTGTAATACACAGACGAAAGAGATGATTTTTTTTATGAAAGGGATGATTTCTATGAATCAAAAATATAAAATAAAGTCTTTACATATTACAAATTTAAAAAAAAAAAAAAATTATATTTTGATTTAAATTTTCCTAAATAAATATAAATATATATTTCTGATTTTGTATATTTGTAAATGTGAATAATGATTTATTTCTTATTATTGATGTTATTTTTTACTGATTGTTTATATCATTGTTAAAAAATAATAATTAGTGCATTTATATTTAATGAATTTTTAAAATTGTTTCATTAAAATTATTTATAGGATAAAATGGTTATGGTTTCTCTTTTTTTCGTATAGCTTCGCGTATATATTTCATAGGGTGAAGATAGGTGACTTAATTTCCATAATATGGCTTCTGGATATTCTTATTGTTTTAACTTAAATAGTTATTAAACTAGATATTTCGTATCTTTCTTATAATAATGACTTTTCTTAATTTAAATTAATTTTGTTAATTTTATTTTATGCAATATAAATATATATTTATTTTAAATTTTTTATATATATAATAATAATAGTAATGAACTAAAATAAAAAGTTTAATTATAAATAGAAGAAAAAAAAATAAATAAAAAATTTGATAAATATTACTTCTTCTACAGCATTGTATGAGAGATGATATATGCATGAGGTATGATACAGTCAGAAATCTAGTTCATTAGCTTTAATTTGACAGAAAGATCGTTGCCTTGAGATGACACATTGGTTTAATGAGAGGAAGACAGACAATGTAACATTGTAAAGGAAGTTCGTGAAAATCAAGTGTTAGAAACTTTGCTAGATGAGTTCAAGGAATATGATTCCAATCTCTTGGAACGAAACTGAAGTGGAGGATTCATTGAATTGGATCTGAAGGACTCGAGGATTGCCTTCAAATCGGTCTGAATAAACCTCGTGGAATTAAGTAGGAAGCTTCGTTCATAATCGATTATTCATACGGATTTGCATGAGAAAAGAATAAAAGCTAATGAACGATAAATTCAATGAAATGAATTCAACACATAATAAAAAGATATCATCGACTTTAAATAAATAAAGAGAAATATTATAAACAATTAAGAATAATAAAAGATAAAAGGAAATATATAAGATTTAAATAATATACAATCTATATTGTAAATATCTTCAATACATATACAGAATATTTTAAAGAAATGAATCCTAGCTTCAAGATCTATAATATTTTTCAAATTAATTATTTTCAGACACAAATAACTCAATTCTTTTTTAAAGAAAATAGAAATAATGCATTAACACATTTATGTATATATAGTTAAATTACAAAAATATACGTACACATACAAGTGGTTCTGAAATCTTTGAAGCACCTCTCCACTTCCAAAGCAGGCATATACAATAGACTACAAGATACACCACTTGAAATCATTTAATACTTTTCATAATACAATAATACAATAACAAGTAATTGAGAGATATATAATTTAGAAACTAACTATTTTTTTCATCATAAAGAATTTTTTTCACAAAAGAATATATATTTTCAAATTTTTTTGTGCGCAATACATTTCGATAATTTTATTAAATATAACAATGTTTAAAAAGTAATGTAAAGTTTATCATAATAATGATGATTTGTTTGAATTTCTCACAGACTACAATATGAAAAGATTAATTTTGAAAAGTTTAATGGAATTTTCATTCATCTCTTACAAATGACTTAGCCCAGTTTCAAAAGATATTTTTGGAGCAAACAAAATCTTTATCATCAAGTGATTTACTAGAGAAAGTTATTCTTCTTTCTAAATCAAAAATAATTAAAAATAAATTATTTTACGTATGATTACTTTCAACATAATCTTCTTCCAAGTGTGACATCAATATGGACAATAATAAGAGGAGGGGATCTTGCTAGTCATAAACTGGTGGTTCAATTTTCAATGCACTCATGGGCAATCGAGCGACGGAAATGAGTTTAACAATGACTGCAGAGAGACGATCCGGTTGCATAGGTGCCCTTGACAGTGATAAATAGATACTGTGATAGCCTTGCCGCTAGGATATTCCTCATATGAAAACGAGGAGAATCTCGATTTCGATTCTTCGACAACCAGATTTTATTATTTTGCAATCTGTTAATATGATGCAATCACGTTTGAAAAAGATTATTTTCTCTTTATGTAAAAATCTCTATAGATCGTCCTGTCACTTTTATCACTCCACACCAGTCAGTTTGCTACATTAACATGGCAATAACTATAAAATCATACCCAATAACGATTGGGTAATTTCGAATGTTCTTCTTTTTATAGTTTGAATGATTGCTGTAGACGATAATATTATATGTTCCATCGATTTGGTAATTGCATTTGGAGGATAGATGAGTATACATATACAAATTATCAAGCTAACAAGTCTTATTATCAATTTCAAACGTGTGAAAGTATTTAATTTAAAATAATTAATATCTGACCCTTAGGTTTCTCAACAGTTTTAATATTTCGTATTTATTTTTCATAAATAATATGACTTAAAATTTTTACATTCAGAATTGAAATATAAAAGAAATTCCACAAATAAAAATGTTGAAGTTTTCGGGTCAAGGAAGTTTATGATTCATGGAATCAGTATAGCAAATAACTATAGCAAGATGACCTTTAAGTTGTTAGCGTTTTACCACGACTTGTTCCACGACAAGTTGAGAACCCAATTGTTAACGATGATAAAATATTCTTGTGTTGTGACGCAATTCCACAATAAAAGAAAAAAAAAAGGGAGAAAAAATTCAGAATGATCACGTTCACATTGACTAAAGGTTCAGAAAAAACCGGTATTACAAGTTGTAATGCTTCTGCTTGTTTATATATTGTTTAACTGATTTGCATATATCATCGATCAATAATTCTTTGCTCGAAAAGAGCAAACTTTGTTTTTCCATAATTTTTCGTAATAAAAATAATATCATAGTTTATAAATGATCGAATAATGTCCAAACTCTCACGAATTTCAAACGGGGAAGCTAACGCATTCGTGGCACGCAATGAATCACGTTTCTCCGGAGTGTATTATCGATTGCCCAGTAGCAGGAAGTTCTCATCAGGGTCAATTTTCTGAAATTCATTTCTGATATCTTGATTATGATGTCGATAATAATGGACGATAATAACCGATTAATCGATATTTCTGCGACTTTTTAGATCTTTGTTGTAAAAATTTTTCTCGATTCTTACGAGTTCTCGTGTAATTGAATTTAATTCTATTCTATGTAATTCTTGTGTCACGTAGGTCATTCATGATGATTCATGGTGATCATTAAAGAAAGCTTGATTTCAAACGAAAAGGATATAGAGAGAGAGAGAGATAATTGAAGACAAAGATAATAAAAAACTACAAAATAATTATTAATTAATTAATATGGATTTATTAATTCACTTATTAATTAACTTCTGAATTTAATTATCTGAAGATAAACTCTTATTTGAATGAAAATTATGCTGACTCCATGAAATTGTTTTTTATTCTAACGATTTAGATAAACGGAATTGTGCTAAAAATTCAACAATGTCGTTAGTTTCCTGCCATTAACTTTAATCGAGTTTTTCTGAAATTGAAAATTAACCATAACGAGTCATTTTTCGAATCGAGCATACATGAATTCTTACAAATAAAAACATGATATTATACGAATAATATCATGAGACAAATTGTGCTCGTCTAAATTTAAACAAAAGATTTTTCTCTTTAAATTCTACAAAATTTTAAGTCCCCTCATAGAAAAAAAAATTAAACTTAATTAAAGTTCAACAGTCAGTCAACAATCTTGACTCCACTAAATCGTCATTATCCTCGCTTCAACAGGATTTTGTACACAATATATCCCAGTTGAGGGAAACAACAGTGACGAACCAGCAAGCAGTGAAGTTCTTTTGTCCCATTGTGCGCGACTGACGACGCGGTAGGGTGTATCTGAGGTGTCTCCTCGTGATGTTTGCTTTGTACCCGGTAAAATTTACTTCTTCCTCGTCATTACCACAGTCTGAAGTGCTTGTCGCGGCTTTTTCTTTCTTCCTTTCTTTTCTCTTTTCTCTCCTTCTCTCTTTCATTCTCCTTTTACTTCACACCAATGCCTGGACAACGTAGAACGAAAAAAGTGGAATAACTACGAATTGCAACGCGCTGTGTGCACGTGGCTAAGAAGCAAAACCGTAAAGTGTTCTTCACTCCGGCGTGGATTGCCATGCGGGGGTGTTATCATGGTAACGCTGATAGCATGACTGTGGAAAGTCGATACCTTCCTCATTTCGTATTCCAAGGCAAGGGCATGCCCTATCTACCATCCTGACATACCAACTGTGTGTGACCCTTGTTTATTTTTTCCATTTTTGACTGTGCGACTCCTTCGCTCATAAGGATTAGTCCAGTTATGCGAAAGTTATTTTAGAATAATTTTTCTCATTGTATTTCTACTCAAATTAATTGTTCATTTATCAATATGGTTCATCATATTCGCACTTTTACATCATTCAATAACCTGCACCGATCATTTTATAAAACTAATTTGTAATACATGTATAAAACATTTACATATATATAAAAGGAAAAGTGAAATAATATCGCAATATCGTTTGCGAATGCATATCATTATATTTGTCAAATACGTGGCTAGTATTTACTGGATTAATAACATTTACTTTAACATATATATATAGACATGTTGGGTATACTGGTGCAGGAAGTGCGTTATCAAACAACGCAACACTAGTGCAATTGCAATAAGTAGCCCATTAAATGCGGTCGACACTGGAAAATTTTCAGCAATTTTTCTATCAGACACGATAGAACGATTTTCTCACGCAAAGGAATTATTTAATCTACGCATGGATTATATAAATTCGAGGGGCGGCCATGCGTTTCACGAATCGGGCCAGTTTTGTGAACTGTAGCGTACCGTGGCTAACTTGAAAACGAGGCTAACTTCGTTTCAATCATGGAATCGAATTAAATCCGACGGAGATCGGATCTGATTATTATTTTACTTGAACTTGGAAATTGAAGTGATCCAAGACTCGCGAACTTGGTCGCAAGATGTTGCTTGAATAAAGATATATGATTGTGGTTCAGACGGTTGAAAGGCAGATGTTGAAAGGGAATAATTTTTTATCGACAAAGTAAGAATATTCCTTCGAGCGACGCAATGAAATTAATGTTAATTACATTTTTTTTTTTAAAAACGAAAATTTCATTGAAAAATTCCTTTCGAAATAATATATTCAAAGAATATTCATACAATTTCTAGATAAATCCTCGTATCTGGACGATGTTTCTCAGGCTAAACTATTTACCTACATTGTTATCAAATTGTACAAATATCAGAATATAACTGCATTCCGAATAATAGTCGGAATATCTTTCGTTCGATTGTATCGGTTTTCGCGACGGTGCAGGGGACGATAATCTATTTATCAGTGCATATGTGTACCCTCGAGACTGGTCCCTTTCATGCGCAATCGACCAATGCCCGCTCCTTTTACGATATACCAAAGGTTTCAAGTGTCCACCTTTACCGGCCTCTAAAACTCGACCTTCGATGTTCGAATCGTGTTCGTTCACGGTATATGCCAATTTACCTCGTCCTAAAGCATCTAGCTGATTTCACTTTAAAACATCTACTTTTACCATCTCTTTAAAACGCGATGGTACTCGTATCATTTTTATAATCCTCTTTGAGGTTTTTAAAATTTTTTTAAAAATTCGTGACAAGGAGATGAATACGAATGAAATTAAATAGGTGTGGATACGAATGATTCTGTGTAAAAAAAAGAAAGAAGAAAAGAGTGCTATCGAGATAATAACGAAAAATTGTGTCATAATTTAATGATGCCATAAGTAGGCACGTGATATTAAATGGTAATTGGAATACAAGTTGACGTAGGTAATGGACGGTTGTAAAGAGTGAACAGGCGCAAATAACACGTGGCCCTTCACTTTGTAACATTTCTTACGATAATTTTTCCATTAAAAATTAATTTTAAATATTGAAAATTATTAAATGAATCGAATAAAATATTATATAAAAGG